CTCAAACCCAAGTAGTCTGTTTCCTCTTGGCCTTGTTGTACGGCTCTGAAAACCGTCAGAAGCTCAGAAATGATGTCTTAGGGTAAACAGTTGTTTCCTCAGCCTTGGTTTTCTTATTAAAATACAGGGAATAGCACCTTCCTTCCATGTGAAAGGATTAAATGAATTGGCATTTGTCATGTGGCAGACACTCAACAAATGGTAGCTTTCTCTCTGGTTTTATTCATTTGTCTCCCTTTGGCCATAAAGGACTATGCCTTCCTTTGTTTTTAATTCCTTGTATTTATCACAGAGTATGCTACATAATCTCAAGTGAGTATTATGAGGATGATACAGTTGACTGAGGAGTCTCTAAAAGAAGATTTCAGGGGGAAAAAGTATGTAAGAAAAATGTGATCCTGAAAAACAGCACCCTTGCCTTTGAACCTGAGATATAGGGTAGTATACCTCCACTTGAGATAGTTGTAAAGATGACTGATCAGTGCAGTGCCAGGATTTGGTTAGGGTGGGAAGTGGGGGATGTAACAGGCCAGAGTTTCATTGTGCATGGTGATTATGGCCATCGGAATAAAATGAGGAAATTGAAAGGTAGAGGGAAATTGCACTTAACTTTCCTCACTTAACCTCAGTGTAATACAAGTATTCTGAAAGAAGATAATGGGTTTTCTTTAACCCGCATTTTACAACTTCAGTCCTGGAAATACAAGTATAGTAAGTGTTCTGGGAGCTTATATACAAGGCTTCTTGGGTCTGAGTCTTCTGGGTAAATAATCTTAAAAAATTTTTTTTTCTAAAGTGTTCTTATGTCGTTAAGTATCACCAAAATGAAATAATGGTTCTTGCTGGATGCGGTGGCTCATGCCTGACATTCCAGCACTTTAGGAGGCTGAGGTGGTCCTGAGGTCAGGAGTTCAAGATCAGCCTAGCCAACATGGTGAAACCTGGATTCTACTAAAAATACAAAAACTAGCCGGGTGTGGTGGTGCACTCCTGTAATCCCAGCTACTCGGGAGGCTAAGACAGGAGAATCACTTGTACCTGAGAGGTGGACGTTGCGCAGTGAGCTGAGATTGTGCCACTGCACTTTAGCCTGGGCAGCAGAGCGAGACTCTGTCTCAAAAAAAAAAGAAAAGAAAGAAAGAAAGGTTCTTAATGCCATACTTCTCCAATAGTCTCAGCTATCATAAGTGGAGCTGAGACTTGAGCAGTAAGCACAAGGGTCTCTGAGGAGCCGCAGAGGGGGACCTAAAGATGATATGCACAAGCTCAAGTGTAGTTGAACAAGAAGCACCCAGGTCTTCACTGGGATTCTTCACTTTTTCTCAGTTCTTTTTTAAAAAATAAATTACTATTTATTTATTTTTGAGACAGAGTCTGGCTTTGTCACCCATGCCAGAATGCAGTGACGTGATCTTGACTCACAGCAACCTCTGCCTCCCGGGTTCACGCAATTCTCCTGTCTCAGCCTCCCAAGTAGCTGGGATTACAGGCAACTGCCACCACACTTGGCTAATTTTTGTATTTTTAGTAGAGATGGGGTTTCACCATGTTGATGAGGCTGGTCTTGAACTCCTGACCTCAAGTGATCCACTCGCCTCAGCCTCTTAAAATGTTGGGAATACAGGTGTGAACCACTGTGCTCAGCCTGTTTTTTTAAATTTTATTTTAGGCCAGGGCAGTGGCTTACGCCTGTAATGCCAACACTTTGTGAGGCCGGGGAGGGGAGGGCAGATCGCGAGGTCAGGAGATCAAGACCATCCTAGCTAACACAGTGAAACCCCGTCTCTACTAAAAATACAAAAAATTAGCCGGGCGTGGTGACTCACATCTGTAGTCCCAGCTAATTGGGAGGCCGAGGCAGATGAATCACTTGAACCAGGGAGGTAGAGGTTGTAGATTGCGCCTGGGCGACAGAGCGAGACTCCATCTCAAAAAAAATGAATAAATAAATTTTATTTTAAGTTCCGGGATACATGCGCAGGATGTGCAGGTTTGTTACATAGGTAAACATGTGCCATGGTGGTTTACTGCACCTGCCAACCTATCACCTGGACATTAAGCCCAGCATGCATTAGCTATTTATCCTGATGCTTTCCCTCCTCACCTTTTCTCAGTTCTATAAAGCTGATTTCTCTCTCAACATACCAGTTAGGAAGAGTGAAGTAGGAGGAGGGCAACATTGGGCTGCTAGATAATATTTTTAGAGAAAAATCGGACCTAAATACTACAAAGTATGTAGCAAGATGGAGTCATTTAATATATTATTAAGTTGCTTCATTCCTTCCAAGCGCCAGTACTCTAATCTGTGGTCATTATGGTAATTCTGGGATAAAAATAAGAGGTTAGAAGATGCCCAGAATAAGAAGGCACTATTATCAAGAAATCAATGAATATTTTAACATTTAGAGATGCGACTTCAGCCACCTGCAGATTTAATTAAGTGAACATCTTTTGATGAGGGAAAGATAAGTGAACCTCTGTTGTCCTAAGCAGCAGTGGGGTGCTACAAAGAACTCTGAGGGTGGCTTGGAGACAGATTTGTCTCATGATTAAGTAATAATAATCCTCAGAATTAAGAAAGAATAAAATTAGGTGATGTATGTGTACATGCCCTGTAGATTGCAAAGGTAATACAGATTTATTTTTATTTCGGTCGTTTTTTAGGAACAGGTGGTTTGTGATTACATGGATAAGCTTTTTAGTAGTGATTTCTGAGATTTGGTGCGCTTGTTACCTGAGCAGTGTACACTATACCCAATGTATAGTCTTTTATCCTTCACTCCCCTCCCACCCTTCCACACCCAGCTCCAGTCTCCAGAGTCCATTATATCATTCTTATGCCTCTATGTCATGATAAAAATTTCAGATTATTTTTTGGTTTGCTCATTATATTTTAAAATATTCTCCCAGCACTTTGGGAGGCTGAGGTGGGAGAATGGCCAGGAGTTCAAGACCAGTCTGGGCAATGTGGTGAAACCTGTCTCTATAAAAAATAAAAAATTAGCCAGGTATGGTGGTGTAAACTTGTAGTCCCAGCTACTTAGGGAGCTGAGGTGGGAGGATTGCTTGAGCCAGAGAGGTTGAAGCTGCAGTGAGCCACTGCACTCCAGCCTGGAGTCGATCAAGACCCTGTGGATGGATGGATGGATGGATGGATGGATGGATGGATGGATGGATGAAAATGCAAAATAATAAAAATAAATATTCCTCAGAGATTTAACTCTGATGGATTGCTTATCTAAGACATTAATGATCATCTCTGCAAGTGTGCCAATTGCTTTCCAGATTTCTGTATTCTGATGAAGTTCAAATTGGTCCAGAAACAGTTATGACCACTCTTTATACCGCCAAGAAATATGCAGTCCCAGCCTTGGAAGCACATTGTGTGGAATTTCTCACCAAACATCTTAGGGCAGATAATGCCTTTATGCTACTTACTCAGGTAAGTAAATGTAGCTAAGGTATGTATCATTATAGTTTAAAAATTGAGTAAACTATATGTGGGTTTCTAATATTTCCTGGATAATTAATTCTAGCTTATAATTTTAAAGTATATATAATTATTTTTATAATACAAATCTGGGAAATATGTCAGATCCATAAGATTTTAGAATTGAAAAGTATAAGATTTTAGAATTGAAAAATATATTAAGGGCCATGCGTGGTGGTTCATGCCTGTAATTCCAAGACTTTGGGAGGCTGAGGCGAGTGGATCACTTGAGGTTAGGAGTTCAAGACCAGCCTGGCCAAATGCTGAAACCCCATCTCTACAAAAAGTACAAAAATTAGGTGGGCATAGTGGCACAGGCCTGTAATGCTAGCTACTCAGGAGGCTGAGGCAGAAGAATCACTTAAATCGGGGTGGGGAGGTGGACAGCCTGGGAGACAGAGCAAGACTCCATCTCAAAAAAAAAAAAAGGCATATTAGAGTTAATACAGTGCTGAATCATATAGGTGAAGAACCTAAAGCCTTATATATATAAGTGGGGTGTTGTGACTCAAAGTTAGATCGCTATTTAGGACTAGAGATGAGATTGAGATCCAGTGTTGTTTCTGCTCATGATTGAGAGTATGAAAGCATGAGATTTTATGAATGTCTTTGTTCTCAAATTTTGTTGGATCTGGAATAAAGATGGAATATTTCAAGTCCTGAGAAGTTCCAGGATTCACGATCTTTGGACCTATAATCTGGAAACTTGCTGATTCACTCCTGAAGGAGTTAAAGTTTTAGGTTTATATGAAATATTCTTTTTCTGACATTTTTAAGTTTTCACTAAGTATAGGATTCATATTGAAAATTACATATATCGTGGCTGGGCATGGTGGCCATGCCTTTAATCCCAGCACTTTGGGAGGCCGAGGCAAAACCCAGTCTCTACTAAAAATACAAAAATTAGCTGAGCATGGTGGCACATGCCTGTAATCCCAGCTACTTAGGAGACTGAGGCAGGAGAATTGTTTGAACCTGGGAGGCAGAGGTTGCAGTGAGCCGAGGTCACACCATTGCAGTCCAGCTTGGGTGATAGAGATAAACTCTGTCTTAAAAAAAGAAAAAGAGGCCGAACATGGTGGCTCATGCCTGTAATCCCAGCACTTTGGGAGGCCAAGGCAGGTGAATCACTTAAGATTGGGAATTTGAGACCAGCCTGACCAACATGGAGAAACTGTCTCTACTAAAAGTACAAAATTAGCCGGGCATGGTGGTGCATGCCTGTAATCTCAGCTACTCAGGAGGCTGAGCAAGAGAATCACTTGAACTCAGATGTGAAGGTTGCCGTGAGCTGAGATAGCGCCATGCACTCCAGCCTGGGCAACCAAGAACAAAACTCCATCTAAAACAAAAAAAGAAAAAGAAAAGTACACATATTGTAAGTGTGTAGTCTAATGAATTTTTACAAACTGAACACAACTATGGAACCTTTAACCAGCCCTTAACATGTAGTATTTATCATGTGTTAAATGTGTAATCTGAGCTTTATGCTTTGTATATAAACAGTTTTTTTCTTTTTAGACAATATTGTAATAGTCTTGTAAAAATTGTCTTTAAAATTCTGTGGTGTTAAAATATCTCATTTGATATTAGTACTGGAAATAATCATTGATGGCCCCTAGCTCAACCCTCTCATTTTACAAATGGGAGAATTAAAACCTGGGCTAGTTAATTGCCTTTCCAAACCCTCAAGGCTAGGTAGGGCCGTGGCCCAGAGCTCTTGTTTTCCAGTTCATTGTTCATTCTGTCATTTAGAAAATGTTTGGTACCTTTTAAAAACATCTTCTGTCATTAAGTATTTGTAATGACAGAAGAAAGAACATTCTAATGTCACTTTTTCCTGGACATAATTACAGAACTCCATGTATGTCAGACACCAAGCTATCCTCTTTACATATATTATGCCATTTATTTCTCATTTTGATGCTGTAATGTAGTTTAATATTATTATTATTGTTATTTTGAGAGAGTTGCACTCTGTTGCCCAGCCTGGAGTGCAGTGGTGCAGTTCAGCTCACTGCAGCCTCCACCCCACCTCCCAGGTTCAAGCGATTCTCCTGCTTCAGCCACCCAAGTAGCTGGGATTACAGGTGTGCGCCAACATGCCCGGCTAATTTTTGTATTTTTAGTAGAGACGGGTTTCACCATGTTGGCCGAGCTGGTCTTGAACTCCTGACCTCAAGTGATCCACCTGCCTCAGCCTCCCAAAGTGCTGGGATTACAGACCTGAGCCACCGTGCCCCACCTATTATCTCCTTATTCGCTTTTTAAAGATGGAAAATGGAAGCTTACAGAAGTTAACATCTTATTACACATTAGACAGCAGTGGTAAAACTAAGGACTCACCTGAAATCAACAATTGTTAAGGTTTGGTGATACTGATAATAATAGCAGAATGTACTGGGTGATAATTGTGTGCCAGGCACCTTTCTCAGCATTTTGTGTACATTAATTCATTTAATCTTTACAATAACTTTATGAGGTATAGGTTTTCAAAATAAAGATTTTCTTATCACATTTTTTTTTTTTTTAATTTTTTTGAGATGGAGTCTTGCTCTGTTGCCCAGGCTGGAGTGCAGTGGCCTCGGCTCACTGCAACTTCTGCCTCCTGTGTTCAAGCACTTCTCCTGTCTCAGCCTCCTGAGTAGCTGGCATTACAGGTGTGCGCCACCATGCCCAGCTAATTTTAGTATTTTTAGTAGAGATGGGGTTTCACCATGTTGGTGGGGCTGGTCTCGAACTCCTGACTTCATGATCTGCCCGCCTCGGCCTCCTAAGTGCTGGGATCACAGGTGTGAGCCATCGCCCCTGGCCATTATCATCATTTTAAAGTAAGGAAATTGAAGTGAAGCAACTTGACCAAAGTCATATAACTAATAAGTGGTATCTCTGCATTTTTTTATCTTTTGAATTTGTTATTAAAATCTAGTAAATAAGTTGATATTCATAAGATTCTTTATTGTCCAAGGAGTTTTAATGCATGTAGTGAGGATCATTTAACTACTTTTATTTTAAAAGCTGAGGTATAAATTCAGAAACCAATAAATAAAACTTTGGCAATTAAAATGCAGATTCTGGGCGAGATTTGGTTTGTGAGGTTCGACAAGTAGCAGTCACCATCTCTGCTTGCTGAAAAGCTGCAGAGGCCACCGAGAACCTACGCACCTGAGTCTTTTACCTTTACCCAAGAAAAGAATAAAAGAGGTCAGAGGATGACAACTGTGTCCTCAACAGCCAGGCCCCAGGAATCAGTGGCTTTTGATGACGTGGCTGTGTACTTCACTAAGAAGGAATGGGCCATCATGGTGCCTGACCAGAGAGCCTTATACAGGGATGTGATGCTGGAGAACTATGAGGCTGTGGCCTTTGTAGCAGTACCACCGACTTCTAAACCAGCTTTGGTCTCTCATCTGGAGCAAGGGAAAGAGCCCTGTTTCACCCAACCACAGGGAGTCCTAAGCAGGAGGGACTGGAGAGCAGGCTTTATAGGACACTCAGAACTGAGAAGATATACTTACTTAGCTAAAGCAATGTTATATGTAATAAAATCAAAAATTCTTCAAAATCGTCGATGCTGGGAAGACAGGAGAAAGGCTTAATTCTTGACATTTAAATACCAGTTTTCCAAGTCAGGACTTGATGTAAGAGCCACCTTAAATGATGTCAAATGCACATTTTCTTTTTCTGTAGACTACTTTCTGTAGTTAATGTTTTTCATTCATTAAAATAATTCATTTTGATGTAAAAAAAAAATGCAGATTCTGGTTCAGTAGGACCAGAATAGGGCCTGAGAGTACATTTCTAACAGACCTTAAGAGATCACCTGTGTTTCTGGACCACATTTTGAGTAGCAAGGGTAAACAGGTATCACTATGACGAAAAAAAAGAACTTTTCAGTATCTTGTTGGTCTGAGATTCCAATATTACATTTTTCACTGGTGGAGTCATATGAATTAGCCCATAAATTGTCATGTGAAACTTCTTGTTCCTGCCAAGTGAGTCATTTGAATTGAGCATGTTCATTTACTTAAGAGGGCCAATGCCAGCTTCTCTATAAAACAAAGTGCCAGTATACTGTACCAGCATGATTTATAGAGGGAAAAATACTTTTTATGAAGTGTCATCAGAGATAATGCCAAAGTCAAAGTCTGTTTTGAGAAAATTTATTTGACCATAAGAAACAGCAATAGATTCCATAGGAAACTTGATATTGCCTGTGTAATGTAAGGGGTGACAGACTTTTGCTACCTCGAATAAGATAATTTTTATAAAAAATTAAAATATGTTATTAGAATTTTACCTTATAAAAATGTACTGCTTCATACTTTAAAAATGTATAACTGTGATCCTAGACTGGGTCCTGTAATAGAAGGAAAAATGCTATCAAAACCATTAATGGGGCAAGTGACAAAACTGAAACATAGCCAGTGGATTAGATAAAGATACTGTATTACTGTTAAATTTATCGAAGTTAAATACTATGATTATGTAAAAGAATATCCTTAATGTTAGGAATTTTTTTTTTTTTTTGAGATGGAGTTTCACTCTTGTTACCCAGGCTGGAGTGCAATGGCGCGATCATGGCTCACTGCAACCTCCGCCTTCTGGGTTCAAGTAATTGTCCTGCCTCAGCCTCCCGAGTAGCTGGGACTACAGGCGTGCACCACCATGCCCAGCTAATTTTTGTATTTTTAGTAGAGACGGGGTTTCACCTTGTTGACCAGGATGATCTCTAGCTCTTGACCTCGTGATCCACCTGCCTCAGCCTCCCAAAGTGCTGGGATTATAGGCGTGAGCCACTGCGCCCAGCCTAATCAGGAATTTTAAGAGTAAAGGGCCTCTAAGTTTGGTGGCTCACACCTGTAATCCCAGCACTTGGGATGCTGAGGCGGGCGGATCACGAGGTCTAGAAATTGAGACCATCCTGGCCAGCATGGTGAAACCCCGTCTCTACTAAAAATACAAAAACTATTAGCTGGGTGTGGCAGTGTGCATCTGTAGTCCCAGCTACTCAGGAGGCTGAGGCAGGAGAATCACTTGAACCCAGCAGGCAGAGGTTACAGTGAGCTGAGATTGCACCTCTGTACTTCATCCTGGCAAGACAGCGAGACTGTGTCTCAGTTTCAGGGAGGGGAGGGGAAAGCCAAGCACAGTGGCCTATGCCTGTAATCCCAGCACTTTGGCCAGGTGGATCGCTTGAGGTCAGGAGTTCAATACCAGCCTGGCCACCACGGCGAAACCCCATCTCTACTAAAATTTAAAAAATTAGCTGGTGTGGTGACAGGCACCTGTGGTCCCAGCTACTCAAGAGGCTGAGACAGGCGAATCCCTTGATCCTGAGAGGTGGAGGTTGCAGTAAGCCAAGATCATGGTACTGCACTCCAGCTTGGGTGACAGTCAGACCTTGTCGCCAAAAAAGAGAGTAAAAGGCCATGATGTATACAACGCACTCTCAGATAGTTCAGTCTCTCCTCCCAGATCGATATATATATACATATATATGGAAAAAAGGTAATAAATGAATCAAAATGTTAGATAAATAATATTTAGATAGATAAATCTGGATAAAGGGCATATAGATTTTCTTTGCACTATCCTTACAACTTTTCTCTAAGTTTAAAATTTCAAAGTATTTGTGTGTCTAAACAAAAAAGGTGCAGTTAAAAAAAAGAAGGAAAAGAAACTCCAAATGAAAAATATTGTGAGGGAAAATTGCATAAGATGGATTTATATTTACTAATACAAATGTTTTATTTAGTGCTAAAATTTATTCAAAATTTGACAAAGCAAATTATTGTAAACAGGTTCAGTGTATAATCTAGGAAGTGCATTTTCAAACATATTTGAGTATTCTATACATATTTTATATGTAAATGTTTTAAATTTAAAAGAATTTAAAGCCAGTGTGTTTAATGTTTTCTTCTCTACCTACATAAAATACAAGATAACTGTTTAGATATTTATTCGTTGTTCAGTAGTATCTGAATTCTTGAATCCTTTAAAATGAATTTTACTTTAAAACTAAATGAGTTGGCCGGGCGCGGTGGCTCACACCTGTAATCCCAGCACTTTGGGAGGCCGAGGCGGGTGGATCACGAGGTCAAGAAATTGAGACCATCCTGGTCAACATGGTGAAACCCTGTCTCTACTAAAAATACAAAAAATTAGCTGGGCATGGTGGCGCATGCCTGTAATTCCAGCTACTCAGGAGGCTGAGGCAGAATTGCCTGAACCCAGGAGGCAGAGGTTGCGGTGAGCCGAGATGGCGCCATTGCACTCCTGCCTGGGTAACAAGAGGGAAACTCCGTCTCAAAAAAAAAAAAAAAAAAAACTAAATGAGTCATCAGTCATGCCAAATAATTGGTGTCATTTGTGATATGGCGAATTAATTGGCAGTATTCTCAGAAGTTTCTGCCCAATCCAACATAAATACCTTTGGGCATTTAGTGTTTGTCCATCCTCTAAAATGTAAAGAGAACTGACCCCAGGCCAGAATGAAAGGTTAGTCGTTGGCATGCCTCTCGTCATACCTCCTTTTGTGGTGTTTTGGCTTTTTAATAATCTTGCTTGAGTTTTGACTTATACTCCGCCGTGCTTACAAATTTCTTTTTTTGAATTCTAACATACATATTCATAAAGTACATATTGTAAGCTTGATTTCTAACATCTTTAAGATGCCAAAATTAGTTCTGTTGGAATTATACAGTACATATTCTTGCTCATTATATATCCTGGCTTTTTTTGCTCTCATCACTAGGTTTGTGTGGTGCATTTATATTGGTTTGTGTAGTTGTAGATTGTTCATTCTCACTGTTGTATAATATTCCATTGTGTGAATTTATGTATTTGTTCTTGTGTTGTTAGACCTAATTTTGCTTAGGTTCCCAGAGCTCTCTCATCCTCAAACATTCTTGTACTGTATCCTGTCCCCAAAATCAAAACAGGCAATGAAGGAGAAAATCTGGTATTTGTATTGTTGTGCTTGACAATTGGTATTATAGTTTAGTGAAAAGACCATAAGACTAAGATTTAAGTACTAGCTTTGCATCATACTCAGCAAGATGATCCTAGACAAGTCACTGTACCTCTCCAAACCTCTGTTTCCCCACCTGGAAAATGGGCTAAGAATGTAAGCCTTATCTAACATAAAGGGTTCATTAAGGATCAGAATAAGTAATGTATACGAAAATATGGCTGGGCACAGTGGCTCATGCCTGTAATCCCAGCACTTTGGGAGGCCGAGGCGGGTGGATCACAAGGTCAAGAGATCGAGACCATCCTGGTCAACATGGTGAAACCCCATCTCTACTAAAAATACAAAAAATTAGCTGGGCATGATGGTGTGTGCCTGTAATCCCAGCTACTCAGGAGGCAGAGGCAGGAGAATTGCCTGAACCCAGTAGGCAGAGGTTGCGGTAAGCTGAGATCGCGCCATTGCACTCCAGCCTGGGTAATAAGAGCAAAACTCCATCTCAAAAAAAAGAAAATAGGCTGTATACACACATAGCGCACACACACATATAAGCACGTGAAAATAAAAATAACGGGATGTTATTGGTAATGTGAATTCGTTCTCCTCTCAGTAGGGCATTTGTATTTTTAGCTTTTCATTTCTGATTATAGAATGAAAATTTTTAAGAATGTGTAGACATTATCATTGTGTTCTAAGTAGATATTTTTTACATAATTAGCAATTATAACTTTACAATATTGACTTGGAATATATGCAGCCTGAAGGTAAAATAAGTATGAAAGTTAAATAACTATCTCTTTATATGTTTAGGCTCGATTATTTGATGAACCTCAGCTTGCTAGTCTTTGTCTAGATACAATAGACAAAAGCACAATGGATGCAATAAGTGCAGAAGGGTTTACTGATATTGATATAGGTAAGTGCACTATGAAGTAAATTGTTACGTTTTAAGTACACTTAATGCCTTACTTGTCAGCCTTATTGGAGAAGGAGTTGTTTTTAAATTAGTGGCTTTCCCAACTGATTGAAGTCTCTCTAAGAGTTTTGCTTTCTTTTGTTTTGGTGAAAATATTTCTAAAAGTCTTAACTACCTCATTGCCTTTTAAAATATTTCAAATCAAATACATATTTGTTGAATGCTCACCATATGCATGGCATTATTCTTGGGTCCATAGAAAATATAAAAATATTTAAGAGGCGAGTTGTCTGGTTAAGGAAACATCTGATTGGAGAATCAAAGAACAAATATGTGAAAATTAAGATTTAAAACACTAATAGAAGAGAGGCATTAATACCTGGGTGATGAAATAATCTGTACAGCAGACCCCCATGCACAAGTTTACCTATGTAACCAACCTGCATATGTGCCCCTGAACTTAAAAGTTAAAAAAAAAAAATAAGAGGGCATATGGTAAAATGTGATTTCTGACTTTTTAAAATTAGACATGTAGAAAATAATTACTATGCAAATCCAGAAAACAGAGCGATTACTTCACATTGAAGTAGTATGAGGAGAATTTTGACAGAGGAGGTTCTGATATAACCCTTAAAGAATGGATAGTACAGTAGGTCCTTGAACAATGTCATTTTGTTATAATGTTGATAAGAAAAGGATCGACTCCTAGCAGGGACCACTGTATAGAGTTTACACGTTCTCCCATATCTTCATGGTTTTCTCCAGGTACTCTAGTTTCCTCTCAAATCCCAAAGGTGTGCATTTTAGGTTCATTGGTGTGTCGAAATGGCCTCAGTCTACCTGAGAGTGTGTGTGTGTGCCCTGTGATGAAATCTTGTACTGTGTGGGTTTGGTTCTCACCTTGTACCAAGCCACTGAGATAAGGTCTGGCCAGCTGAAACTCTGAACTGGAATAAGTGAATTGGAAAATGATTTATCAAGTAAAAATGTGTAACATATGATAATCATACAAATACTTGATGATAAATGATGTAGTATGAAAGTGCTCAGCAAGCACACTATGTTATTGTTTGTTTTTGCACTGCATTGTGTGGGAGGTGCTCCTCAAAATTTCCACTTTGTAAACGTTTATTCTTGGATTTAACCCACCACCATGACCACTGTCACTCACTGATACTCACTAATTCACCAAAAAATTGGGTAAATGATTCTCTTTCTTGTCTTTATTAGTCTTTCTTAAATGTATGTATAGCTCACATTTATTTCACTGTTTTTTTTTTTTTTTGAGACGAAGTCTCGCTCTGTCACCCAGGCTGGAGTGCAGTGGCATGATCTCAGCTCAGTGCAAACTCCACCTCCCAGGTTCAAGAGATTCTCCTGCCTCAGCCCCCTGAGTAGCTGGGATTACAGAGGCGTGCACCACCTCACCCAGTTAATTTTTCTGTCTTTTGTAGAGATGGAGTTTCACTATGTTGGTCAGGCTGGTCTTGAACTCCTGACCTCATAAACACATGTGTCAGCCTCTCAAAGTGCTAAGATTACAGGCGTGAGCCACCGTGCCCAGCCTGTTTCACTGTTTAATTTATAAGTGCTTTGAGTCTTGAAGCTTGGTGGTGTTTTTGTGACCAGAAATATGCCATGGGAACTTAACTCTTGTTTATATCAGTTGGCTCATGGAAAAATTGCTTTTTTTTTTTTTGAGACGGAGTTTTTGCTCTTGTTACCCAGGCTGGAGTGCAATGGCGCAATCTCAGCTCACCGCAACCTCCGCCTCCTGGGTTCAAGCAATTTTGTTTCACTTGAAGTCAGTTTCCAAGAACCCAAACATTGAGGACTTACTGTATTTGGATAGCGGAGAGCGGAGGGCATTAGGGGCAAGTGAATCCTCAGGAAGAAGTGTATAAGAGGAAGGAGGTGCAAGGCAGGTTAAAACCAGCTGATAGAAAACCATCTAAAATGACAGGCTAAAAATGTACCTTTTGTCTTGTAGAGAGTAGAGAGCTCTAATCCAGGCCCATGGCTTTAAATACTATCTTGTGATGATGAACCCAACATGTATCTTCAATCCCTGTCTTCTTCTGGGCTACAATCTCATATACCCAGCTGTTTACTTGACATCCTCATTTGGAGATTTTGTAGGCATTTGAAACAAAACAGCTAAAGGAGAACCATTGATTCCCCTCTCTGTTAGGTCTCTTCTGTTCCTTTCCAACTGTTTTCAGTCTTCCTCATCAGCACCACCATGAACCTTATTGCTCAGGCTAAAAACCCCAGAGTTATTCTTGATTATTCTTTCTCTTATACGCCACATGCAGTCATATCAGCAGGTGCTCACGGCTGTACTTTGAATATGTATTGTGAATCTGACCACTTCTTACCATATCTGTGGCTACCACCTAGTCTAAGCCACTGTTGTCTTTCACCTGCATAATGGCAGTGGTCTCTTTCGTCCACTCTTCCTCCCATACACTCCAGTCTCTATACTCCAGTCTTTACATGATAGCCAGAATGATCTTTATAAGTAAAAAATCAGGTCATATAAATTCCTTGCTTCCAGTGTCTTCCCACTGCCGTTTGCATAAAATTTAATAAATTCCTTGTCAAAACTCACAGTGCCCTGTGTAATCGGGTCTTGTATTTGTCTGGGTTTATTAGGCTAGGCTGTGGTAAGGAATAGACCCAAAAGTGCAGACTGGCTCAAACACAAAAGAAGTTTATTTCACACTCATATAACAGACCAAAGAATTACTATAGTTGGCAGGTAGCTCTCTTTTGTTCTGTTATTCTTTAGTGCCTAGTTATTATCTGTGTTTTGCTGGCAGATGAGAGAAAGTATGGACAGGAAAAATAACCACATATTAAAAGCCTTGGCCTTGATATAGCACCTACATTTTGGCTGTTATTTTCTTGGTCCCATTCAGTTACAAGATCTCACCTAACTTTTGGGGAAGCCAGGAGATGCAGACTAGTCACAACCCAGGAAGAAGAGAAAATATCTTTGGTAAACGGCTACAAGTCACTACTTACCTCTACCTACATCTACTTTGTCTCCTACCATTCTTCCCCTAATTCAGGTCCCATAGATGCTGACCAGGATTATTTATATTCCGTTCTTTTGTGTTTGCTATTCCTTCTGATTAGAATCCTTTTCCCCCTGAATCTTTGCATCTCAGATTAAAGGATACCTGAGACCTCAGACCTACTTAATTAGATACTGTGTTCCCCTAAGCAATCTGTTTCATTAATCTTACTCAGATTTATTTTCCTGTAATACATTTGCTCTCTGAAAGTCTTATCTAGATGTTTGCCTTTATTTATATATATATATGTTGATTGTCTCCTTTTCTGTCCTAGATTGTAAACTCCCTGAAGGAAGGGACTTTGCCTTGTGTACCATTGTATCTCTAGCACTAAAGAGCAGAATGTAGTACATATTCAGCTGATATTTGTTGATCAAA